GCTGCTCTGAACATTGTTACAAAATTAAAATTTTAATGAAAAAGATGCAATCGTATAGATTTGCATGTAATATAATGAAATGTAAATGAAAGAAAGTCCAATTTAATTTTGTCCTGGCTCTTCCTATATTGAACAGTGAATAAGTGAGTGGGATTATAACTCTATTACAACCCCACAACCGCCCCCACCTCCACCCCCACACATAGCCCGACACAAACACATACACTGGCATACCATTCTCAGCTACATACAGTTGTGTGTAAAATATCATGAGAATTTCTATACCCTTCTCTTTTTATCTGATATGCTGTCATTTCCTATTCTAACTGCTAGGGAGCAATGGAGGTGTTTTTTTTATTAGAACTTTAGATTATTACACGTTCTGCCAAGAAGAGATAATGTGATGATTAGGAAAGAACATGCTGTACAGAATTCATTATTAGCTTTGCTTATATCTTGGTCAAATTGAGTTCCAGTTTATAAGAGATTTAGAGAGGACGATATCGGAAAAGCAAAGTTCTCTAATGAGGAATCCCAGCTCATAGAAATAATTTGAGGTGTACTTGTTAAAAGTTCAGTAAAAATATGAAAAATGACATCATATAAAAGCATCTAGCTTCTGCCAGTTTTTCTCTGAAAAAGTTCCTTCTGCTAGCTTTTCTCTGAAAAAATTACAGAGCAGAGTTCTGTTCCACTTCTATCCTACACACATTCGCAGAAATATTATTTTGTATATTTGAAGAACAATTAGTTGTTCTTATTTTCAGAAACATGGACACCCTATTATGTGTCTGTCATGTAACAGCTCTTTCTAAGAAATGGCAGATGAAGGAACCCTTGAAAAGCCCATGTTGCATAAAGTGGAGATGAGCCTGTTCATACCCTATGACTGCAGTAATTGAGGGGCATAATTTTATCCTAGAAAATGATATGAATCGGTCAAATGGAATTCTGTTCCAGGCAACTTCTGAAATAATTTCATCAAATAGGCTAGGTAAAGATTTTAGGGCAAAAAAAATATATGATCTGATGGCTAGAATCTATGTGAGTCAGGCTATTCCATTTATGAGGCCCTTTCGTCTCCCATTTTTAAGTTTGTAAATTACATGAGAGACAATAAAATACATCAT